TCTCTCTCTCTCTCTCTCTCTCTCTCACTCTCTCACTCACTTACTCTCTAATTCTTAAGATATTTAACGGTTAAACAAATGGGAAATGTCGACACTTTCAGTAATAACATTAATTTTTACCATAAAAATATTTTTGCACATTTCTGCTAAGAATACAAAGCGAAACGAAATAAAAATTATATATTTAAAACATTTGCTTTTTATCAATGTTCACAAAATTATTTGTAGAAAATTAAACCAACACATAGGTTATTATTATTAAATTAAAAATAACATTTTAAATTTAACAAAACAGAATTTTAATTAGGGCACTAACATTTAATGCAATATACTTTTTAAAATGTTGTTTTGAATATTATTATCAAATTATTTAGCTATATATTTATATTTTACAACATAAAGTAAATTTTTATTTAATTAATTATCATATTTATCTATATTTTGACAACTAATTAATGTAGAGGCAAATATCAAAGTGGCAAATAGATATTTTTATGCAAAATTTAAGCATATTAATTAATTAATTCGCGGAGACAAATAATAACCTTGATGGTAAACATCTAATTTGTAAATTCTTGATAGTTTTTAAGACACATTTAAATGACATTGAAATGCGATAACCAGTTATAACTTATAATACACAACTTACAAGTAAATTCATTGTAAAAGTAATAAGCTGAGTTACATAAATAACACACCACTCTATTCATTATTATCTAATGTAAACATCTTCATAAATTATAATAAAATGAATTGCCTTAATTCAACATAATTATTAATATTTCAACAATTATAACCAGTATAAGTAAACAAATTTTACCAAACACAATTCACCATCAGCTATGAAGACATGGATCAGTTTACTACTATCTATTGTTATAGCCTATGGATTAATACAGTGTATTATTGGCGCTGAACACGATTTAATCAATATATTGGCCAAAAACGATACCATAAGAAATACATTGGAAAGAAACCCGTGTATCGGCCGTAACAGACCGGAGGCCCGACGATGTCTGTACTCCGTGGCCCCCAAAGCCGCCGACTTGACCAGTAAAAGGGTCACTCATTTATGCTGTTACGCTCAGGTGTACTCCCAGTGTCTGGTCTCTACAGCTATTCTAATGGTTTGTACCATGGCAATAATTTATTTATATGACTTAAACAATTTTATATTATGCTATTTGCTATTGTTTAATATTTATAACTAATGTAAATTTACTTTAAATATTTTATTTGACATTATTTTAAATATTTTAAATGTATTTTTATTTTTAATACAGAAAAATTGCGATCAGAATAATGAGCTGCATATGTTGAAAACTACTTTGATCATGGCCAAACGAGACCGGGAGATGAACTTATGCCAATCATATAAATACTCAAATAACCAAACTAATTGCGACAAATCGTTAATTGTCAATGTGACGGGTGGTGTAGTTTCTAGCGCACAATACTCAATTGCAACTATACTGTTTATGGTGATTGTAGTTAAAATATTCGAGTAAAACATTACAAAGTTAAGCGACTAATAATTTAATTATGCAAATTTGTATATAATATTAAATAAAATTTAACATTTATGCCTGTGTGTATTTTAAATTTTAATTCAACTTAAATATTCATGGAGTAGGTGGGGTTGTGGGTGGGGGCCAAGGGGGTGATAATTAATAACCAGCTTTAATTAATAATTGTTATAATGTTAAATGACTTAAGGTTGTGGTGGGCGACTCTCTCATCCCTATCTAACTCTATGTAAAACAAATCATATAGGAATCAATAAATTAAATAAAACCCCATTTTAACGTTTTATAACTTATTTCTATACATAATTATGATTTATATTTATTAATATAGATATTTGAAAATATTTTTGTAAATAAGAAAATATTAAAATATCATTTTTCTTGTGATAAAACTGGCATTTATTTCGCCGCTATTTTTAATGAATGGATATAATATTTTTCAATTGACTGAAACTTTTTTATTGCGGCATTTTTTCTCTCTTCAGTCACTTATAGATAGTATTTAATGAAAAGATAAAAAATAATTTTTTTTACTTCATTCCTATATTACAGCCATTGAAGTGAACGCTTATTTCTCTAACAAAAAAAAAACTAGAACTTTTTTGGCTGTTTTTGTCACTATTTTCAATGGAGTTTATATACAAAGTGTAGATATTTATAGCTTATAAATAGGCTAAATTTTTTACGATAATTTTGTTCAATAAAAATATAATAAATTCAATCACTTTTGTGTTTCGCTGGAGTCTATGTGTCTATGATTTAAATTAATAAATCAATTCATTTGTTGTGAGAAACACATTGTGTGTTGTATTATGTATTCAATTATAGCTAACAATCGCTTATAAATTATAAGTTATAATATAAAAGTTTTGTTGTTGTGAAGATCAATGGGTTTTTGATTAAGGATTTCTATACTATTTTAGTTTAGAGAGAGAGAGAGAGAGAGAGAGAGAGTCGCCCACCACAACCTTAAGTCATTTAACATTATAACAATTATTAATTAAAGCTGGTTATTAATNTTTTATCTTTTCATTAAATACTATCTATAAGTGACTGAAGAGAGAAAAAATGCCGCAATAAAAAAGTTTCAGTCAATTGAAAAATATTATATCCATTCATTAAAAATAGCGGCGAAATAAATGCCAGTTTTATCACAAGAAAAATGATATTTTAATATTTTCTTATTTACAAAAATATTTTCAAATATCTATATTAATAAATATAAATCATAATTATGTATAGAAATAAGTTATAAAACGTTAAAATGGGGTTTTATTTAATTTATTGATTCCTATATGATTTGTTTTACATAGAGTTAGATAGGGATGAGAGAGAGAGACTTTGTGTGACGATAATTAAATAAGAAAACACTATTAAAACGACCGACATTTATAGTTAAAGATTGAATTCCGGTATATAATTAAGATTAGGATCATTTAATCGCAGAAAAAACATTGTTTTAATTTTAACGTTTTTTCAAGACATTAATTAATCAATTATTCAACACATTCTTCACTATAGGTTTAAGAAGTTTTTGTTTAAATAAAATACTTTCCAAAAATATATATTTATCCAATACTTGAGACTATTTTTAGTTTTACTGTATATATTGTGAGATTAAAAATCAATGTTTTTCAATACACAGAATGCAGTACAGAATATATTGTACATTCAAATCAAATGACAACAACAATTGCAAACATAAATAAGCATAGATATTTGTGATGCTATTTTTATGATGGTAATAATATCAATGGGAATATACAGTATATATCGTAAATATGCACAATAATAATAACAAAATTGACAACAAAAACATTAAGATAAAAATATTTTCGATTTCCTTTGTGCCGACTCTTGAATAGTTATAATACAAGGACTGAAAATCTTGTATTTTTCATGTCTGGCATACTTTCCGACGGATTATACGCCAGAATGAAAATAACAAACATTATATACATATCAATAATACATTGCAAATAACTTATAACTAAACATAAGTTGTAGTTATTATACTTATTATTATAACTTTTAGTCTGTATGGATAAAGAGAGCATTATTTTGCATTATTTCATTGATATATTTATTAACAAAAAGAAAACATTTAATATAAAAATATTCTTTATTCTGTTTGTATAAACAGTAAGTTTTGTGAACAAAAAATAGTCTGAAAATAATTTTGCGTTAAATATTTATGAAAAATTTCGGACAAAAAATAGTAAACTCTCGCCTATAGTATGTGCATAATATATACGTAAGTATATTGTAGATAATATTGAGTAAATAATGTATTGCATTATTATAAGCAAATGTAGTGTAAATTTGGGCATAAAATATATTATATATTTCTCTGTAATACATAGTGTTTGGGAGAGAGAGAGAGAGAGAGAGAGAGAGCGAGTTATGAAAACTGCTTTTGTATGTGGATTCAAAACCATTGAATCAGTTACTTAACAATTGATAACATCTTTTATATATACCGTATTTCACTGTATGTTAAGCGTTGAGCGCAACGCATATTATATAAAAGGCTAACAGAGTCTCTATTGAAAGCACAGAATATTTGTTTTCTTTAATATCTTCTTTCATATCATATATTCTTTAATATTCTTATATTCTATTAATCTATAGTAATAACAATTCTCTCTCTCTCTCTCTCTCTCTCTCTCTCCCAAACAGTATGTATTACAGAGAAATATATAATATATTTTATGCCAAAATTTACACTACATTTGCTTATAATAATGCAATACATTATTTACTCAATATTATCTACAGTATACTTACGTATATATTATGCACATACTATAGGCGAGAGTTTACTATTTTTTTTGTCCGAAATTTTCCATAAATATTTAACGCAATATTATTTTCAGACTATTTTTTGTTCACAAAACTTACTGTTTATACAAACGCAATAAAGAATATTTTTATATTAAATGTTTTCTTTTTGTTAATAAATATATCAATGAAATAATGCAAAATAATGCTCTCTTTCTCCATACAGACTAAAAGTTATAATAATAAGTATAATAACGATAACTTATGTTTAGTTATAAGTTATTTGCAATGTATTATTGATATGTATATAATGTTTGTTATTCTCATTCTGGCGTATAATCCGTCGGAAAGTATGCCAGACATGAAAAATACAAGATTTTCAGTCCTTGTATTATAACTATTCAAGAGTCGGCATAAAGGAAATCGAAAATATTTTTATCTTAATGTTTTTGTTGTCAATTTTGTTATTATTATTGTGCATATTTACGATATATACTGTATATTCCCATTGATATTATTACCATCATAAAAATAGCATCACAAATATCTATGTATATTTATGTTTGCAATTGTTGTTGTCATTTGATTTGAATGTACAATATATTCTGTACTGCATTCTGTGTATTGAAAAACATTGATTTTTAATCTCACAATATATACAGTAAAACTAAAAATAGTCTCAAGTATTGGATAAATATATATTTTTGGAAAGTATTTTATTTAAACAAAAACTTCTTAAACCTATAGTGAAGAATGTGTTGAATAATTGATTAATTAATGTCTTGAAAAAACGTTAAAATTAAAACAATGTTTTTTCTGCGATTAAATGATCCTAATCTTAATTATATACCGGAATTCAATCTTTAACTATAAATGTCGGTCGTTTTAATAGTGTTTTCTTATTTAATTATCGTCACACAAAGTCTCTCTCTCTCATCCCTATCTAACTCTATGTAAAACAAATCATATAGGAATCAATAAATTAAATAA